CTGACAGTGTTTTAGTCTTCCCTGAATGTGAATGTCACACCATATAATTGTTCTCAATTAGACAAACTCAGTCGATTAAAGCAAAGAAAATGGCTTTAAAAGATTTCAGTTTTGTGTTCCCTCACTATATTGTCCCCAGTCATGTTGATGTGTTGCCAAACTTAAAAACAAAGTCTCTTTTGAATACAGCACTGGCTTCACAGCAGTGAAAGTTTGCACGTGAATTTGTGAGCTTTGTTGTTCTTCAGCAGAAGGACATTTTCTCAAGCTCTATGTATAGTGCATATGTACATTGCACTATTTATAGAGCAGTGTGTTCTCTTCCACATGTTTAACCCACAGCATGCTTGTGTGCACAGCTGCGCGAGCCCCAGCGTGACATGAAATGCACATAACTGCGTAATGTCACGCAGTACTGACAGATCATATTAATGTAGCTTCTGGTAAAGCTTCGTCAGAAGTAACATGCGGTACAAATTATAATTTTTTATTAGCTTATAATTTCTGGGCTGAATATATTTATTTGTGAGCAGTTTGAAGATGACGCTTACGCATTTGCAGAAGCGCATTTCTCTGCAATGAACAAAAGTAACGCTGTCACTCATGACATTAGAAGAAAAAGAGGCAAAAAAAAAAAGCAGTCGTGTTGGATTTCTTTTCTTATTGTTTATACTTTCGGAAATTCACTTTTGTAACGGTAAGATCTGCACAAAAGGCATCACAACAAATGCCTTTCAAAATAAAAGACACAATTCTTATAAAACAAGTCTACTGCTCAGCTTTTTAACACATTAAAAGCACTGAACACTCATGAGCTCGAGCACATTTCTGATGCGTCCTCAGATGTAAGCCAGTATTTCATGTGACCATGGCCACACATTACATCACCATCCAGCTCTGGAGTCAGTGCTGTATATAAATCGAGCTGTTTGTTTACTATGGCTCCTCGTGCTGCCCCCAAGTGGCCAAAATATCAATCAGAGCAGGCTCAGGAATAGTATTGGCCCTAAATCTACCATAATTATCATCAAAGCAGGTAGTGTACAAAAAATAAAAAAAATAAAAAAAATAAAATAAGCAGGAATCTCTGCTTGGCTTCTGACATCAGTGTGAGTCAAACTGCAACTTTAGAAAAACTAGTGCCAATTACATCTCACAGTTAAAAACAGCAGTTTACCTTTTCAAATATTTCAATCTCATCTATTTTGGAAGAAGTCCAACTAAATTTGTCTTTCAGTTTTACAGGGAGCAAACAGTAAAAGCAAAGTGGCAGTGACAGAAAGCGAGCCTTTAATGCCGGTACTTCAGAATGAAGTCCAAAGGATAATCCAGAAGCCTGAACCAGGGAATAAAGTGAAAACGGGAACCACGGCAACACACAGCTGAGACTGACAACATGACAAAGGACAAGAGGAAACTCCCACAACATGGTAAATGGACTGGTTCTGATACAGCGCTTTTCTAATCTACCTGGGCACTCACAGCACTTTATACAACATGGCTCATTCGCCCATTTATAAAAGCACTTTCTTTCAATGCTTTTTCTATCTAAGTGCTTTCTAACATTCACTCTGCGATGAATGCATCCAAGAGCAACTTGGGGTTCAGTATCATGCCCAAGGATATAGGATAGGCATGCAGACGGGAGATTGTGCGGCTAAATCTGTCAGCTACTAATCGGTAAGCTGGTGGTTCAGTATGTGGCTGCTCCAAGGTAATGAGCACAGGGGACAACAGGTGAAAGACATAGTGGGAACAAATTAGAGATGATAAAACAGTGTATGTTCAACTAGATCCACAGAGCAAGAGACAAAAGACCGCCAAAGAAAGGCATGGAGTAACTAAACAGAAGACAGAATCACACATGTGACCTAGAGATGGAAAGACAGAAGGAAACAAACTATCACCATCTAAAGTGCAGGACTAATGGTAAAATTAATAAAGAGATTTAATTGCAGCAGGGAATATGAAATCTTAAACAGATGAGGATAAATCCTTCTCTCAACCCACAAAAGAAATCATAAACCCACAAAACTCAAAACTGAGTCTAAGATGCTTGTTTTAACTACATGTGTAAAATATCATAAAATGTATTTTATTGGTTTAAAGTTTATTTTTTGAATTTGAGCTTTAGCAGCAACTTTTTTACCATGCAGTTTTACAGTGTCAGGAACATGCTTCAATCCCCGCTGAACTATAAGACCCGTGTGTGGGATGGTAGGTGCTGAAGTGGAGGTGGGTGTTTCCACAGAGGTGGTGAGTTTGTCTCCACCTTTAAGCGGCTGGTTAAGGTGCATGTGTTAGGATGAGTAAACAGTGAAAAGTGAAAAGGGAGAGAAAAACGTCAAGACAGTCCAGTTTACTCAAGACAGAAAATAGAAACTGGATTATCCTCCACAGATTATCAGAACAAAAATTTTAAATCACGTGCACTCAGTCAAATCCAGAACGTCCTGTCCCTTTGCAGCGTTTACATTCTGCATCTTTAATGGACCCTTTTGAAGCGTTCCCTCTCTGTCTTGCTGCTAGTTTGCCAGTGAGGCTGATTCTTTGCCTTGATCTTCTGACCAGTCGAGCTTATTGCCTTGATCCTGGGAAAACAGGCTTTGATGCATCTGAGTGCAGCTAACAAGTCATTCCTCTCTGAAGTGTATTAGCTGGAAATTGAGCCTTTTGATCTTTTCCTTTTTTTAATTTAACCTTGTTGGTTGCCAGAAGGCTTTGTCTGGGAGCCTTCCGTCGTCAGATGTAACTGTCAGCTTTTGGTTTAAGCTATTTTGAATTTTAAACAGAATATTGCAGCATTTTAAATATTTAGATGTCGGGGTATAACCAGAGATACTCACGATAAACTCTTTTTGCTTTCGTCGTGTTTTAAGCATAAAGAAGAAGCCCTACCAAGTCCGCATAGATGCTTGTGTATATTAAAATCAATTGACTGGATTGGCAGAGGCTTGGTGCTCACTGTCAAGATGCATTATTTACTTTATCAGCACATGTGAGAAAATAAATCCTTTTCAGAAAGTCAGAACAATAACAGCAATACCAGTTTTTTAGGTGTGTGTGTATGTTTGATCTTTTGTTACAAAGTCAAACTCAGAAGGATTTAAGTTTTTAAGTTGTTTGTCAATGTTACCAAGAAAATGCAAAAACTACACGAGTTAATTTAAGCTGTCAAAACACGTTCTAGCAGATTTTAGCTCGACGGTCCACTCCTCCCTAGACGCTGCAGGCTACATGCTTGTGACTCATCAACACTGCTGTCTGAAAATTATGCTCTTCATCAGTGTCCTGCAGGACCAACTTCTGAATCCTGCTTCTGTTTTCAGCTGCGACGGGACTGACAGGATGAGAATTACAACGGCTGAACAGAAACCGGAAGAAAGCAAAAGAGATGGCAGTCGATATTCACAGACTTTTTCCATTGTTTTTTCCCCCTTTTTAATTAGGGGTCTCCCTAATGATGACATCATCATGAGGTCATGCTTGAGGTCTAGTAGTTCCAACTTTTCCAACCCACACATCTCAGTTTGAGCAAATCAGAACCAAGATAGAGCCAAGATGTTTTATAGATAAAATATGAAAGGAATAACAGAAATAACACCAAACTGATAATTTGGTAATCCATTCAGTACATTGAGATATTTCAGTTTAAACCAGGGATGTCAAACATAGGGGGAAAGAACCAACCCACCAAAGCGTGAAATCTGGCCCACCTGGAGGCTGTGAGCAGAGGTGGGCACTTAATCTTCCCAAGGAGCCACATGAGAAACGGGGACTATTGTGCACCAGCTGCACCAGTGAGCATATAGAGAGATAAAATTAATATTGAAGTCAATGAAATGAAAATGATTCCAGGTTTTTATAAAGTAGGTGCACAAATGCAACATAAAAGGGTCATTTTACCCCACTGCTGGTGGTTGCTAGGCAACATGATGATACTATATGTAATTCAGCTTTGGTGGAGAAGTTACTGTCATGAAATAAAAATCATTCAGTGCTTTTTGGAAGGTGTTGCAGGTGCATAGGTGCCAAAAACAGGTCATTTTAGCCCGTTGTTAAGTGTTTGCTGGTGGGATGAACCCGTGTGTCAAGTGTGTCTGCTGAGTTCCTGCATTTACAAGGAATGAAAGGCAAAGATTTGGTTGAACGGCCGTCTCAGTAACAACAACATAAAACACCTCAGAGAGTAAAACGGAAACGTTCTTGTTTGAATCAACAGAAAATGTTGGCCTTTTAGTAAGAGAATAAAAGCTGGAAATAAGCAACTTTTCTGTAATATTTCTTTTTTGTGTACATCCTAAGAGCCGTGCTGACGGCAGTAGCATTTCTTAGTGCAGAAGAAATGAAGATGAATTACACTCGGGGTATTCATCATCAGTTTTATAAATAAATGGTTTATAAAATGCGTACTTAAATTTTTTAACACTAAAAGAAAGTGATCAGGCTCACTTAAGACCAAAATCAGGCTGAATGTAACCCACAAATTACAGTGATTTTGACACCCTTGGTGTAAACCATGAATGCTGTTATATGCTGTTGGTGCTACAGAGAAACAGAGGGTCATTAAAGAGCAGGAAATGTAAATATGTAGACCATCGACCATTTGTGAGGCCATGCAGCAAATCTGAAGGTTTCTGTCCTGCCAGACAAGATATTATTAAATCAGATCAAATCTAATCATTTTGTACATTTTCTTCATATAAACACACATGAGTATAGCACGCTTGCATTTTGTGGATCAACATTTCTGTCTAAAAGTACTTGTGTGTCTGTGTACAAAATCATGTAACCTTGGAACTTGTCATTTAAAGCGATCCTCTGATAAAAAAACAAAACAAAATATATACTTTTGTGTCCATCTGGGGCAGGAGGGCATCCAGATTATTTTATTACATTCATTACATTTCTCCTGGTATGTCCCCCATGACTCCAATTTGCTAATAGCTTACTTCATGTCTGAAATAAAGCTGGCTCTAAACAAAGACGCCCATTGAGGACGCAGAACTGCAAAACCTCGCAGAGGGCTGCGTCTCCGACTCAAACAGCAGAGTCGGTAAAGACAGAGCACATATCTGAACCACTGGGACACAGAGGTAAGAGAAATCTGTGGCGATACATGCGAAGGATTAAACTATAAATTAGTTAATATTAGAATATTTCTGCCAAGAAAAATGTTGCCTGAGTTGACGTAGCAGTAATCTTGTTTGCATTGGCCATGTTCCTTCTTGGTTTGTGTTACCTTACCTGCTTTTCTTTCATACTCTCTTTAGGTAATAAAGCCACATCTTTATCATGATGCTACCTTTGGCTCTGGTGTTTGCACTCACCCTCCCCATCATCAGGGCTCAGGTTCCCCACTGGGGCCCGTGTCCAGAGCCTGCTGTTCAACCCGCCTTCAGCCTTAAACAGGTACCAGTGACGGTGCAGACTGTGCAGAATACGCTGAACACATTAGGCGTGAATGTCATGAGATCCTTCTTCTCTCGCACAGTTTGAAAAGGAAAAAGCTGACACCACAAACATTATCAGAGATTTCTGTTTAAATATTTTCACATGTCAAAGATTTGCTGACTGTTTATGATACATTCTTATTAAGTAGCAAAACGTACATGTTTAGTAATTGCTGGCATTTGTGATATAGATCAGAATAGTGTGTGGTGGAAGCAGATAGGAGTGTTTGTCATCATATTTGTCTCTGTATTGTGTGGGCACCAAAAAGTCGAGGATGGTAGACACATGCATATGGACATAATTAAATACAACTACTACTAATTATAATTACACCACAGTTAAACAAGAATTCATTAATATAAATATTGTTTTCATGTGAAAAAAATATAATTTAATCTATTAAAAGTACTTTTTATTTATATATATGTATATATATATATATATATATATATATACATATATACATATATATATTCAGCATTTCAGCATAATCTTTGTTGTAAGTCAACTCAGTACCCAAAGTATTGTGTAAGTAAAGATTTTCAGTACCTTTAATAGCATAGAAATGTGCATACATTAGTACAATAACTGAATAAATGAAGACAGACTTTTTCCCAGAAGGGAAACTTGGCAAAACATTGTGTTTAATTACTTCCTCAGCTGGTGTAGAGTAGGTTTTTATAAAACACATACCATATATCAGAGTATGTAGATTTATTCACAGTCTGCACTCCCATTGCTCTGAGTTGTCTTTGAACCCGTGTGTGTTTCTGCCCTCACAGTTCATGGGGAGATGGTTTGAAATTGCCAAACTGCCAGCCCAGTTTGAGAAAGGCCGCTGCATTGAAACCAATTTCACTTTGACGACGAGCAACTCCATTCGAGTGGTCAGCTCTGAAATACTGTGAGTCCCACTGAATTTATCTGTGCAAATGTGGAGCCAGGAGGTAATGTCTGCATGTCGTGTAGCCGTTTTAGTCTAACATGAAGTTTGTCTGTGTGGAATAAAACAGAAAAGGAGAGGTGAGGAAAATCGAAGGGATCGGGGTCGTAGAGGATATAAAGAATCCAGCCAAGCTGGGAATAAGTTATTCTTACGGTGAGCAACATCTGGTGACAACACTGAGAATGACTGGCTGTGTTGTGAGTTGTTAAGAATGAAGTGGAAATGTAATGAGTTAATCAGCCTCTATAAGCCACATATTAGATATATGACATTCTCTCAGTATGTGTAGCTTCAGGATAAAATACTGTGATACTTTTGTCTCTTCACTCTTACAAATTTTGTCTTGATCACAGTCCTTCCCTACTCCCCTTATTGGATCCTGTCTACTGACTACGTGAACTCGGCCTTGGTGTATTCATGCACTGACATCCTCAGGCTCTTCCACGTCGACTTCGCCTGGATCCTGGGGCGAACACGCACCCTGCCAGAATCCACCATCGAGAAGGCCAAAGAGATCTTTGCAAACAACAACATCGACGTGAGCAGGATGATCCCCAGCAGGCAGTTGGGCTGTGAAAAAATGCTGTGAGCAGCGACATGGCAACACAAATGCAACACAGCATAATGTTGCTGTCGACAGAAGGGGGTAAATTATCCGAGTGTTTGTTTGCCTCGATGAATCTACGATTAATAATTTACGGTGATTGTTTCCAGCAGGATAAACTCAACTAGTTTCTCTGTTTTCTCCAGTTTTTACTTTGCACAACACCGACTGTGACAGTACAAGTTGAGAGGAATACTTTCCGTGTTAAGAGAAATGTTTTATTCGCTGCGAGCAGATGATTCTGAGTAATCTGAACACAAACTCAAAACATGAAGGATCTAATTAGTGTCGAAAAAAGTTAGTGAATCTCATTTCATGTGATCTTTACTGTGTTTTTAATGAAATCAGCGTGCTGCACTGAAGCCTTCAATACACACAGAAACTGATTTGAAAGTTGAAAAGTGTGTTGCTTTATCTGTAAAACGACGACAACTAAAGGTTACGTATTTAAAATAGCGTCGATGTTTGAAGTTTACCATCTGTTTATGCTTTCTAAGTGTTTTAACTGTTATTTACGCTCATGTTCTGTATAAGCGTGCTGAAAGGCATTTTCAA